CAAAAGTAGTAGCGAACAAATCATCATCATCATCATCATCATCATCATCATCATCATCATCTTGATGTTTACTATGATTTGCCTTAACAGCCCTCTATCATTAAAATAACACACACACCCGCCCCCCGGGCAGGGAGTTTTCTTATGACAAGGAAATGAGTGAATCTATATTGTATGTATTTGTAGATGGAGAAAAATTCCATTCCATCCTCAAATCCTTTTAATGTTCTTGCTTCCACAATTCTTAGACTTTACAAAGAGATACCCACCACTATAATTACCACTTTGAAGATTTGACATTTTTTAGCTTTTTTTTTTTTTTTTAGTTTTCTATGTTCATAAGTGTCTGGTGTAAACCACAGTGAAAAAACTTTAAAAACTTACTTGAAGCTTCATTTGGTATAGAATGCAGCTGCCCAGATGTTCACTAGTGGTTATTGCTGAGACCATGTGACACCTGTATTGTGAGCCCTGCATTAGATGCCTATTAGCTTCTAGGTGAAATTTAAAGTGCTGGTCTTAACCCTTTACTGCTTGGTGCTAGACTAGCTACTGGGTTGCATCTCCCATTGGCCTATCAGTTATAATCATGTTAGGAGAAGCAGCTTATTGTTCTCCACAATTATGAGGCCAGGGAGAGTTGACACTCAGAAGCAATCTTCCTTAGTACAGTGCTGGGCCTTTGGAATGGCCTCCTGCTTGAGGTTAGATATGCCTCATCTTGGCCCCCTTCTGTAAGATATTGAAGACTGAGCTCTTCCAGAGGGCATTTGAATCATGATACCTGTTTGATATCTTATGTTTTATGGGGTTTTTTTTAATTAACATATTTTTTATTTGAGCCACTGAGAGACTGTTAGATTGTGATAAGGTAATAAGATGACAAATAATTTGATGAAACACACATCCCAACATTATGACATAGCTCTCTTTCATACTAGCATGCCAACATCATCTTCAAGTTCCCAAGTCATGCAGTTTGTTCTATGATGTCACAATTCATTATTCATCACTTTACACACTTTCTGGATGCCTGTGTCCATGCCCATTGCGAGATATGATTTTTTTTTTAAATGATTGAAAATCACTGAAAAGTTGCCTTTTTTAAAAAAAGTAACTTAGTATTTGATTTTCATGTGCTAGGCAAATATACAAGTCACTTTGCAAGTATTATAAAATGTACCCAAAGCATATATTTTGGGTAAGTATTCGGATCTAAACAGAATGAGCTCTATTTACCCATAACTTTGAAACTCAGAATATCATCAAAGACTGTAAGACAATTGACTTTAGATCTTGTAATACCTTTGAGTATGTAAGTTACTTTTATGTTTCTGATTGTTTTTAATATTTATTTGTTTGTTTACTTTTAGGGATCCAAACCAGCCTGTTCCCCAAGATACAAAATTCATCCATACAAAACCCAATCGTTTTGAAGAAGTTGCCTGGTCCAAATACAATCCAAAAGATCAACTTTATTTGCACATCGGTTTGAAACCCAGAGTCCGGGATCACTACAGAGCAACAAAAGTCGCTTTCTGGTTAGAACTTGTACCACACTTGCACAATTTGAATGAAATATTTCAGTATGTCTCCACTACAACTAAGGTGCCACCGCCTGATATGACATCATTCCCTTATGTTACCCGACGTTCTCCTGGGAAGTTTACCACCAAACGCCCATTAATGACACCAAGCAACAATCCAAAGCATTCAAAAGATACCCAGAAAACCTCTCCAGAGGATACAAGTGTTCTGATAGAAAACAAGAGAGATTATTCTACAGAGCTAAGTGTTACCATTGCTGTAGGAGCATCATTATTATTCCTCAACATTTTGGCATTTGCGGCCTTGTACTATAAGAAAGACAAGCGACGTCATGAGACACACAGACGCCCCAGTCCCCAAAGGAACACAACCAATGATATTGCCCATATACAAAATGAAGAGATTATGTCACTGCAAATGAAACAGCTGGAGCATGATCATGACTGTGAGTCACTACAAGCTCATGATACCCTGAGACTCACCTGTCCACCTGATTACACCCTCACTCTTAGAAGATCTCCGGATGACATTCCACTCATGACGCCCAACACCATAACCATGATTCCAAATACATTAACAGGAATGCAGCCTTTGCATACTTTCAACACTTTCAGTGGAGGACAGAACAGTACTAATTTGCCTCATGGACATTCCACCACTAGGGTATAGCTCTGTCATTCACCCGTCCCATACCACCTGGAAGATTAAACATAAGAAAAAGGAAAAAAAAATCATATTCTCCATCGAGCAATTTGTGAAAATTAAAGGTGAAAGGTGAAAGAGCAAAGCTGTCATAATTTCCTTCAGATCCTTTCCATAGGAACTCTGATATTCAAAAAAGATCACCTTCTCAAACCCTGTGAAATGTGAAATGTGTACATTGCTATTAGGATTCCGCTTTAATATCTCAACCACTTTGATTGAAAGTAAGAGTTGAGGCCTGAAGAAAGTCTCTTAGAAAAGGATATATATTGAGTGTAACAAACAGAAACAGAACTTTTGAAACACAGAGCCACTGACTGTATAGGGTTTTTTCTTTTTCTTTTTTTTTTTATAAATAAAATTTTAAGAAAAAAATGTTCTATATGTGCCATACCATGAATGGCCCTTGTTATACAAAAGACGTCATCAGGGGCTTTTACCCATCCTAAGAAGCTGTAATCCAGAATGGGGAAATAAGATTTTATTATTCAAAAAAATAGGACTGACTATGCAGTAAATATGTATAGTTCTGTGCAAAGAGATGACTTGCCAGCCTGAACTATATTTAAGGAACTTTGTAAAAAAAAAAAAAAAAAGTGTACATAGCTGTGAGTTTAAAAAAAGAAGCTTTTATTGATGTTTTCAGTTTGAAAAGAGCTTTTAGAAAGATTGTGCTTTCAGTTGTGATCTATGTGTATAAACATTAATCATACCACCTATGTTTCCTCCCAGACCTAAAGGAGGATGTTCTTCTTAATTACTAGTGATGATCCAAGACATTAAAGTTCTTTCCTAATGTTTCATTTCTAGGAAAACATTGTTGTATCATACAAAGGACACAGATGACTGTGTGGCCTGCTAGATTTTCCTTTACAGGCTAAACAGATGCATGTTAAGGATCCCCACCCCCACCCCACTTTCTTTCCTCTTTGTGTTAGCCTCCATTATATTGCAACACAGAGACAAATTGGAAGAATTTCAACAAGCTTGTTCAACTGATCTAGGAATCCTGTTCTTGGTATCCTACGTGCCATGAACCTTTGCTCCTTTCAGAAGGCCTACTTTTTAAATCAATCTTTTTCTGTGACAAAGGCACTAGCAGATGGCAGAAAAGGTTATGCAAAGAAGGGAAACTGATAATTAAGTTGAACAGGGAGATCACACAAGTTAGACGAAGGAGAATATTATTTTTCCAATTAATTAAGAGGGAAGTTCTTGATGGATCGGTAGCTTTTGAATAATAGTCGTTTTAATCAAGCTTAAGCTTGATACTAGGGAAAGCAAGAGAGAAACCGTAATAATGTATAATAGGTGAGTTGCCTTGAAGAAGTTGGATCATTTCATAATTCATAATTATTAATTCTATAAGAAAACATTATTATTCACACCATCACCAAAAGCAGGGAAGTTTGATGTGAAATGCAGCTGTTCCAACAAGGTATCTGGCATCTCTGTGTAGAGTTTAAAAACAATTCAGAACAAAATAAATCAACAAAATAAATCAGATGTTATAAAAGTAGAAATTATTAATAGTAAGTGAAGAATGGTTTATAAAGGTGGAAACCAAAGATATTTGAACAGAGTTGCTCTGCACAAGATCACATCTTTCCTGAGGTGTACATTCTATTTTTTCTCTTTTACTGAGGAAGGCACAACACTGATATATTATCATCTTTGTAATAATAAATATATATGTGATGTGATGTCACATAATGTAACACAGGATGCCTTCTGCTTTAAAATAGATAGCTTGAGCTATTCTAACTTATAGCTACCTTGATGTTTTGCTGGATATGGGATATGGAATATATCTACAGCTTCATGCTGTTTCTGAGAGAGAAAGCAAGTTCCTAGAGTAGCAAACAACAGCTGGGGACATAATAGAATTGCTAACATGATCCATCATCTTAGAAAATGAAATTAGTATATACTTTCCTTTTCCTTCCAGGTAAAATTTTAACAGTTCCAACTTTTACCCAATAGTCAAAGGAAGTGAATGCATTCCTTGGTTTTTAATGTGATTGTAATGTATTTCTTTTGTTAGTTTTATATTTCACTTTTTCTCTAGGAACTCATGGCAGCATACCTAACATTGCCTCCTCCAGTTTTTCCCCATGAAAATAACCCTGTGAAATAGATTGGGCATAGAAGTAGGGACTGGCACAAAGTCACCTAGTGAGGTTTCCTAGCTGAAGGTGGACTAGAAGTTGGGCCTTCTCGATCCTTGCCCAATATCTTAACCACTTCACTACACTGGCTGTCTAAAGCTGGATCTTTGCCATCATGACTAATACATTGCCTCCACTAAGACACAACAGTTCTTCAGGACTCAGTGGGGAATAATAAGGAAAATGATGGCATCTTATTCAGATGGGCATGTTTGTTATGTGAATTACGGTATTTGTTTAGTACTTCCAGTTGTCTTCTGCTAGCAATATGTACAGTACTGTGTCAGGCTTGTGACATTTGGGTAAAACCGTTTCTGTAAGTGAATGATTTTAGCTTTTAAAAATCAATGAAGATGATGTCACTTTAATAATTTAATACATCTGGAGAGATGTATGATTTATAAATGGAAATTTTTAGGCTCTTCATAGGATTCTATAATAACAACAACAAAGGATACTTTAAAGAAAAGAAAAAAAAAATCCCAGACTTTTCTTCTTGACCTTAAGAGGCACGCAGGGTTTCTTTTGTTATTGTTTCTTCATTTTTTTTTCTTTTTGGTTTGCCTTAAGTAAGGACAGAAGATATATATGGCTGGACACATATGTATAAACTTTTCAGCGGCATTTTTAATAATAAAATATCACAGTATTTTCTAATGCTTTGTGCAAAGAATTATGTGTTTATCATTTTTGTAAAACCATTTTAACAATCTCTGTGTGTGTGCGCGTGTGCACATGTATGTGAGCATATGCATGTGATATGTGTTCTATAAAGAAGCTTGCTAACACTTGCAAAGTGTTGAAATGATAGCCTGGATATGGATAAATATCGTAGCCAATCTTGCTAAGAGTTTATTGCAAATTTTGCAGAATGCCAGTTGCTGAAGTTCAGAACCACTGAACACAACAAATACTATCATTACTTATGAATCTTATCATTTTTCTTAGTTACAGTCTATCATGTGAAAGTGGAAATTAAATCTTTGTGAACCAGAATGCTTGCCCCCCCCATCTAATGATTACTAATGGTAGTAATCAACTTTACCATTAACCATAATTAACAATTGAAATTAAAACTTCTTGAACCTCTTGAACCAATAACTTTCCTAGCCTTGTTTCTGATATTTAGTCACTGGGATCTAATTTCCAACTTTAAATATGTGAAATAACCATATACTAATTGGTTTCTTTAGCACTGGCTGCTATTCCATTATCAGTTCCATGATTTCAAACCTTTTCTCCAGTCCTATCAAGAAAGCTCAAGGACTGAGCACGTGCAAAGAATGTGTTCTACCATAGAGGTACAACAGGATCCTTTGGAAAATCTATACATTCTTCCTAAAAGCCATAAGATTTCATATAAGAAACATATCAGACAGGAGTCCCACAGTTCAGAAATTGACCATTTACTGCATATATCACTAGGTCTACAAAGCCGGACATTCAGTAAGTGCTATAGATGTATGGAAAAATGATGCTAATTATTAATACTTAGAAATACATATAGGAAATGTAAAATACAGCTGAAAAAGTTCTTTGCTTGTTTGGGGCACAACTGGACCTAAAGGAAGCAATCAGTAATCTATTTCTTTTAATTATATAATGATAAAGTGGAAAATCTTATTTTGAAAATTGAGGTCTTTTTTGATGGAAATATTTTATATATAAAATATCCCCTGTGCATGTCTGTGATTTTCAGAGGTAAATCTATGGGTCAGAGGTACACATATTACATATTTTATTCCTGTGCAAATCACAACGTGTGTGTGTGTGTGTGTGCACGTACACACATGACTAGGACAGTACTTTTATTCTCTATAGTCAGTTTCAGAGTGAATTAATTAACAAGTTATAAGGCAATTTTTTAAACAATACACATCTAATCACATTTACAATTAGTGGTAATTTTACACTAATTTATTTCTTGCACAAACTTTATGGTGGGGTACATTGTAAAAAACAAACCAAAAATGCACTTCCAGGATGTGTGATTGCTGAGAGAAACCCTGGAATTGTCCAGAAGATTATATATATTCATATTCTAGCTGTTAAAGTGTTGTGTTCATAAGTTATTATTATTTAGATGATTTATTATTTGCATATTTATTATTAGACATATCTTCCTCTTCTATTCAAGCAAACACTCAAGGTAGCTAATAAAAACAAAACAGAGAATACAAAAAAGTTAAAAATATACATTGTGATGAATACTAAATTAACAATTAAAATCTAAGAGAAAGAGAAGACTCTGCAAATTTTTTTTTTTAATCCTGAGATTATGACAATCAAACACAACTCCCAAGGATTAAATTCCATAACTTTAATGCAGGAGAAAGCCCTCTCCCACAAGCCAGATGGACTGAATACAATAATTTTTATAATACTCAGTAAAAAGCAGTGGTGGAACCTTTGAAACAGCTTCCCCTACAGATTTTAACAGCTAGACAGCCAGATTCATCATAGGAAAAGCAGTACCTCCTTTAGTCATATGATAATACAAAATTAAGATCAGACCCATACGTTTTAAAAAATATGTTAAAATGTATTTGGTGACTTTCAAGTTCCATAATGAAAATTCCACATATATGCTTGTAAGAAACAACAGACTCAAAAAATAATATGTAATAACTTCTGGGGGAGGCATGATGAACTAAACACATCTCCGAAAGCAGAGATAACAACTGCAGCAAAGTCTAAAGAACTGGCGATTAGACCAGCTCTTCAGAACCTCTCCAGACAAGGAAAAGACAGGAGATTGCCCACTTGTGCTCTGGATAGCTGGTTCCCACAAGGAGACTGCAGGACAGCAGTCTCCCGTGGGTTTGATCCCTGGGAGATGAAGGAAAGCCATCACGCTGTCAACCATGGCAGAGCCTTTTAAGGACATTGAGTGTGCTAACTCACTTTCTAATAACTTGCAGTGTTAAGTGTTTATTTGACTATTCTAATGCTATTAGAGATCTTTGGAACAACAAGTGTGAAAAGCCACCTGGTTAATTTACCTTCCTTCTTGAACAAAAGAAAAATTAACCATATGTTAGAAAGAAAATGGAAAGAAAATAATATGTAACAAATAAGCAAGCAAGAATGAGCATATCCTATGTTGAAAGCAGGTAAATTATAGTTCCAGTAATTTGAAAAAGTGTCCTAATTAGCCTACCAATAAACTATAAATACAATATTTTAAAATTTGTTAGATAGTCCTTTATGTCAATGAACTCTAGTATCATGCAAGCAGACAGTACTTCTAACCTTAAGTTATATTCAAACCAATCTGATCACAAGATCTTTGGCCTTTTATATAAAAATAATTATGATTCAGAAAGATGTTTTTTTAATCCTAGACATATGGCATAAATACTCATAGAACTTTCTTTATTTTCAGTAGAAGTTGGGAAATTACAACTTACGCTGTTTCTTGACTTAAGTGGCTATCTATTGTAAAGTCCTGGAATTCTTCAGATTTTAAGAGAAAAAGGTACATAAAAATAATTAAAAACCTGGAAAACATCAGAGATGGAAAGGCTACCCAAGCATGTCAGCATTTTATATCGTTATTAAGTCATATTCAATTGCTGCCTGATAAATTGAAAAACAGAATAGGTATTCTTCTGACTTTTTTTATTAGGTGCTGGAGAATTACACAAATATTGAAATTATGGCACTAGTAAAATATCTACTGCATTGTTATGGCTTGTATATAACTATATTGGGGTACAAAGTTTCCAATAGGCAATATTTGAATGAAAAAAGCTTTATGCATATTTGGCATATAGCCCAGCAGAATGAGCCTCAAAGTCCTCACCTTCCTATTCTGCCTCTCATCTACCATCTGTCCACATGGACATATGGGAAGCCTTTCAAAATCTCTGCCATATAAATCTCAAATTGTTGGACCACCACATTACTGGAAAGGAAAGAATAGAATGGACAATCTCAACATCTCAAGCCCTCTTTGTCATTATAGAAGTGAAGATAGTCGATGTGAAAAGTTGGGAGCCAAATAACTGGACCCCATCATTGTGAATATAACACAGCCACCACTGAAAACATTTCATTCAACATGAAAATGGCAGTGAGGAAATCTTTGTAGGCTGAGAAAGAATTTAGGTTCCAAACTTTATGGAGATCTAGTCCAACAAGCAAAGATCTTCTTCAGATATTGACTCTGAGCATGCAAATTCCCATCTCAGGCTCACGAAGGGCAGAATTTGTCAACTCGTCATGTTGCCTGACCCTGTTGTCATAATGTCTGAGCAGGGCTGGACTGTAGTGGTGAAGGCAACAGGCTAGAAACTGGGAGACCACGAGTTCTAGTCCCGCCTTAGGCACAAAACCAGCTGAGAGATCTTGGATCAGTCACTGTTTCTAAGCCCTGGGAAGCAGGCAAGGGCCAACCACTTCTGAAATGTTGCTCAGAAAACTACAGGGACTTGTCTAGACAGTTACCAGGAATTAACCCTGACTCGAAGGCACACATAAAATAAAATGAAATAAACTTTTAAACTGTTAGTTATAAACTGAGATAAAAGAGTTGCAATCGTTTCTACCTAATCTGGAAAATGGACAAATGTAAGAAACTACTTTTTTTTTTTAAATGAGTATCATAATCTATGTCAGGAGAAATCCACACTAAGAAAATCCTTAAAAGGAGAGTGTAATGAAATTTTACCAGAGGCAGTTTTATGTACTTCTGGGACTTAGTCTGGGTTACATGAAGATGCTTTATAAAACTTACAAGTGCAAACTAAAAGGCTAGCAGTCAAACTGGATTTTGTCTGTCTGTTTGTTTTCTGCCTCATAAGAACTGCTTGATCTTGAAGGGTCAGATGACTAACCCTTGAGAAAGATAGGTCATCTGCAGTAGTAGTCCAGAATGTAACATTTTTAAGCGTGCTTCTGGAGTACCCATATCAATACCTCGGTCATCTAGTGCTTCTCTTGAGTTATGTGTTAGCTTGGTGAAACATAAATCCTGTTCATGTAACACACTTAAACAGGTCAATAGTGGATTAAGTGTATTGTGGGAACATCCAAAAAAGGATTAATCAGTGTAGTCAACTAATCTTGGGGAATAGATTAAACTCAGAATATGATAGCTCCATCTATTCATCTGCTGTATCATGGGAATTTCTGAATAGAATGAACAGGTACTTTTCAGTCCAATTAGCAACATTTTTTCTACCAGTAATGGTGTCTCGGTCAGCTTGTAAACTCATGGCAAGTGTTGCTGATTGTATCTGTAATCAGTTAAGCTGTTGCCCACCATACATATTGGGCCACAAGTGAGTACTTTGCTATGCATGGAGATAAAATTAAACTTTGGATGATCCAAGCCATACAGGTAGTTACATGGGAACATTATAGCTGTAGCTTTCCTGGGTAACGGCCACAATCTATTTCCCATTTAACCTTTCTCATCAAGTGGTCTGCTCTAAATTAGATTCCAAGCACTGTGTTAATGATCTGAAGGCCTGTGTCTCAAATGGGTAGTTCTGACATTCCTTGGCTACATTTGCTGTTCTGGGAACTACAGTAGTTTCTGACACACTGGAATCTAGTCATTAAACAGAAGCATGCCTCACATGAATTTGGACAACTGTAGGATTTGTAATAGATATTCTTTTAGTCTTGCATTT